TAGTATACGTATAATATATCGTTGAAAAGTGAAGAATTTTAGACAAAACAACATCTAATATAAAAAGTTGTATAAGGTAACAGAGAGTGGCAAAAAATTATAAATAATAATTTTAGAAACTAATAATATTCAACGTAAATCACATTTTTTCTAGGAAATTAAATGAAATTTACTAACTAAATATAAACTTTTAAAATATTTTTAAGTTTGAAAAAAGTATCTAAAATCCACCTAATTAAGGAAATGCTATTGTTTAAAAAACTATTTCATTGTACTTGTGTGAAAGAAGAAGTAAAATATAAAATCATATAATGGATGTATAAAGCATATGTTTATAACATTAAATACATTTACTGTAGTTTAATAATTCTAGATCTGATATTATATTTAAATAATTAGGTATCAGCGTCCGTTTATTCCGAAATATTGTCATGTAACCTTTTAAAAAATTAAATTAGTGAATAATTTGACGAATCTCCCCTTGTGGCATTCCAACTGGATCCGCTACTATTTTATTGTACTTGTGTGAAAGAAGAAGTGAAATATAAAAATATTTCATAGATATGTTTCTAACCTTAAATATATCTACTGTAGTTTAATAACTCTATACCTGATATTATATTTAAATATTTAGGTGTCTATCGTCCGTTTATTCTGAAAAATCATCATGTAACCTTTTAGAAAATTAAATTAATGAATAGTTTGATGAAATTTCCTTTTGTGATATTACTTACAATTAGTGTGACAACTAATGATCTGTCTATGACAGACAATGCAAATCTCTTAATTCCGTTTTATTAAACTTTGCAATTGAAAATAACAGTTTAGTAACTAATAGTCGTACAATCCGTAACCAATGGATCATGCAATCCATAATCAACGAATCGTATAATCCATAATCAACTGGTGATATAATAAATAGGAGTTTTGTTATCTTAATGGTATTTATGATTCGTTAGCTGTAATTTTTAGATTTAGCTCGGTTAAAAATGCAATTCAAAAATTTTATAATAGCCCAATACGGCCAAAAGATAATTTCTATTCTAAGTTAAGTGGTAAGTGAAAGTTGTGTGTTGCGCTCACCAGATTGTTAGAGCTAACCATGACAGTTAGCATAACAAAGTGCTTGTTATTCAAAAATTAAATTAAATTATATCAAAGCTTGGCCTATTTTTCAATATAATATGCGAAACTAAGTTTTCATCAAAAATGATTAATTATTTCTTTTTTTTATACATAAACATATTTTTATGCATGAAAAGTTTATTTTATTGTTTAAATGTTTAATTGTTATTTTAAATTAGCAGTTTGTATATAAACTCTATACCTTACAGATTATAATTTAAGATAATAAATTTAATTATAGCATTAAAAGAAATAATTAGCAAATGTTACAGTAAAACAAGGCACAATTCTAGCCAGAAATATACATTAAATTGGTTGGTATAAAAGCAATAATGACTATTAATTTAAAAGAGCCATCATCTAGTGTAGTTTAGTTTGAGGAAGTTAAATCAATTTTTATACCTAATAATCCCTTAGCGCTTATTATTTGTTGAGAAGTTCTTTAGAGAGTCAAGTTCTAAATAATAATTTGTTACTTTAATAACAATACCGATAATTAGTTTAGTTTTGAACAGGTATAAAACATATTTTTATTTTATTATTATTGAAATATATTTTTTTAACAAGCCAATATTTAACTTAATTGAAAACTGATTCCACAGTTCTACAGGTCAGCATCGCTCTCAGCAATCATTTTCCATTTCTGTACCTCTCTTCCAATTGCGGATTCACACGGCTTCCTCGCATCTCTCTCTCTACTTATCCTTCCATATGCCTTCTTGGATTTCCCCTTTTCATTTCACCACTGAAGAGTGCCTCAAACATTTTTATCAGTATCCTTTCACCCTCCAATCTGACAAGGTGCGATGCCTAGGCCATCTTAGCCAACCTATTTGATAAAATTAATGGTGCTCTTATTCTCTAAGCAACCCACAGCATTGCTCTTGATTTTACACTCAGCATGACTTGTGTCGCTTCATAAATACATCTTATAATATTTCTTTCCAATCCTCTCAAAGTTCATTAGGACAAACAACAAATTTCTGCAAACTTGAACATACAATGAATTGAAGACAGTCTGGTCTTGAGTGACTTCAGTCAAATTACTTAACAAACTTCATTCTAACTTTCTACTCTTCTTAGTAATAATAATAATAAAAGGCTTAGCGAACCCGAAGATTCAGTGCCGATATCATCAATCACTTATTACACATTTCCCTCCACTGGTCGCCAGTCCCTTCAGATCACCCTTAACACAATCTCTCCACCTTCACCTCAGTCTACTCCTTGGGCATTTACTAGTCAACACAGCAAATATTATTTATCCAATTTTCTTAATTTATAATGAATTCTTTTGTTACTAAGCCCAACAATTCTACAAGCCCATTTCATTCACCGCCAAGTAATCATCTCAATTAAATTAACCAGATACAGTTCATGCAATTCGGCATTCTAAACTATCCGGTTAACTCATCCTTCTTCGGTCCGAATATTCTACACAATAATTTATTTTCAAAAAACTTAATACATTGCTCATCCCTTAATGTAAGTGGTCACATTTCACATCCATAAAGAATTGCATCTAGAATAATGGTATTATAGATTCTAGTTTTTAAGTTCCGGAACAGGTAAGTTTTGTTACAGAAAAAGCATGCCTTCAGCCTAATCCTAATCTCCTCTTCCATTTCATTTTTTCAAGTCATCATAGACCCTAGATACCTAAACTTCTCCACGTGTTCAAACATATTACCTTCTATATCGATATCACTGGCAATATCACCATTTTTTGCAGCTAACCATATATTTTGTCTTATCCATGTTTATTAGGAGCCCTAGTTCTTTACACTTCACAGCATAAATAATAATAATATAAATTTTATAAGAACAACTATAGTAGGCACTTGTTGAAAAATTGGTAGCTTAAAAGACTGATTCTATAAAAACAAAATTTTAAATTTCATGAGTTATTCAAATCAAATGATTTGAAAGTAATTTTTCATTAATCGTCCACAATTTATATTGCATTTCATGATCTATTTTTTAATCCAAAAACATAAACAGATGTTCATGAATTCATTCATTGTTAGTAATTTTTTATCTATCTCCACTAATTCTATCTATCTAACTTTGTTTTAAAATAACATTTATCCTTTTACCTTCTCAACCCTCTATAAACTGAATATTTGAAACATATAAATTGTATCTTTACCAGAAACCAAAAAGTTGTAACAAACGTATTATGCATTGATAATTTGAAATTTACCAATAGTATCCCATGATAATTCAAGTCTGTGAACTGTAAAATAGATGGCCCTCTTTGTCAATTTATTCCATTAAATTGGAAAAGAAAATAACCATAAAATTTTTCAGTTGATCAACTTCTGATACAGGTAGAAAAGTTCAGTTGGAAAATAGGGCCCATGCCTAGAAGGCTACCTGACGAAGGTATTGAACATATACAGAGTATGTTAGAGAGAGAAGGACTAATTAAATTAGTGGAAGGAGTTTTTTTAATGGAAAAATAAACTAAAAATTCTTGATTACTGGCTCTTTTTCAAGCATAATTCCCATTTTATCTTGACAGGAAACATTTTACTTCCTAGAGTTAACCTTTCCCAGAATGAATCATCTTTTAAATGAAGTATTCTAAAACTTAATTAAAGGAAACTAGGGCAATGGAGTCTGCAGTTTTAAACCCAAAAAGACTTCGAAGTTTTCAGAACAAAAATTATCATTAAAATTACTAATTTGAATTTGCATAAATGCTATCAGTGTGTACATAATACCTTTTTTTTAATTCTCGGCTCAAAATATTAGACAGCTTGTGACAGCCAATAAAATTGTAAGGTCTTTTTTTAAATCGATATAAAGCTAATGGAATACAGTTTTGTACAATGACTTTTTTTCTAATATTTATTTGAGAAAATATATATGATTGATAGTTAAACATGATACAGTTGATAACAAAAGAAACTCCTGGCAACAGAAATGGATAGCTAATGATGATGGGCAAGAATATCCAGATTGGATAAAATAAAAAATTCAAGAACAGATGGAGGTAAAGAACTATCTCGGAAAAAAAAGTCCCTCAGGTAGTACAGATATTAAAAAAAAATCCCTGATGGGAAATTAGCTTCTAGGAAATTGGCAGAAGACAAGGTTGACCCAGAAAAATGTATAATAAGCAAATAGAAGATTCTATAATGGAACTTAATTTGCAAAAAGAATACAGAAAAATATGGAAGGAGGCCTTAGAAAATTTATGAGTTAAGAAAACCATTGCTTTAAGAAAAAATCATAAATCAAAAAGAATTGATATGTTTTAATATTGAAAGTAATCTTGTTATTGTTATTTAGAACAAATAATTTAACCAATTTCCTTCTTTCACACATTTTTAGACATTCAACATAAAAAAAATTTAAAAAATGGTTTATTTCTATTTAGAATTTTACCTAGGATGGTAAGATATTTTTTAAGACATTAATGAATATATATATACTTGTCATACTTTTTTTTTTACATCCATGGGTGCATAAGTTTCTGTCCTCATTATGAGGCAGTTAGTTTTCCCCTTGAACCAACTCATATAGACTGCCCATTGCTATTTTTAAACTGGTTGCTTCAGTTCAACAAAACATAAGATAATAACAAATAAAAAAACAATAAGGTGATTCTTAGATTTTTCATGGAGCCCTACTTGCTAATCACTGACAGCTACCTTAAGTTTGCCACCATGTAATAACCAGAGTGGGAGTGGCAAAATTCATTTGCCAGGGCCATCGAGAAATATATATTAACTGACCTAGGTGGGAATCGAATCCACAATGTTCCAAATTAGGCAATCCTCGCCCCTACTCGTTCAATATAAATAAGTAAAAATAATATACATCAAAATAACAAATAATACATAATTTAAAAAAAATTGGTAGCCTACCTTAAAATGAGATTTGAGAAGCAGTCGTGTGAGCTCATCGATCACTGTCTTGAGATCTGCTGACAATCCGTGGGGAGCCGAGGCTGTTTCGAGATCCTTCAAGGTGTCTAAAACTTCTCGCCATTTGAGCACACCATCGGAACTGGGTGCTCTTGTAGGGCTCATAACTTTACTTGATATTCGGTCGTATAGCTGCAGAATAAATATTTTTCATTGAATTATTTATAAAAAACCATAATTTGGTCATAAATATTATTGTACCTAAAATTTCTATAATATTTCTTACTAAGGATTTCTTCCCAGAGATTTTCAAAGATTTGAATTCTTTTCTTTTACAAGGTGGTCAATGATATGATGATAGTTAATAGTGAATGATAGATCAATTCAGATGGTAACAGTAATTGTCTAAGTACGCTAGTGTATGAACTTATACAATATCAAAGCTCAGTTAAAAAAAAAAAAAAAATTCTGATTTATTAAAATCATTAACTCCTATGACATATTAATTTTTAAAAAATTATGTATTTTAATAGAAAAATTGTATTGATATCGAAGATAAAAAAAAAACATAGAAAAAGTACATCATTATTTATTATTCTGGTCATTATTCTTGGAAGACTGTAGTCCCAGAATAAAATTATTTTTCATTTTCTTTAATTTCAGGACAGGACTGATTACAGATGTATTGGTATATATAATTTATTTATTTAACCTGGTCTATGTATTGACATGATATACAACATCTTGATCTTTGCACTTAAAATACCAATTTCAAAGTGGAAGAAAACAGTTATAACTAATCTAAGGTTTTACTTAACAGTATGATTTTATATTAAGTTTCTATTTCAATTAAAATATAAAAAATACCTCTAGAAGAGCATGAAGTTGCCTATCTTCTAGAATCGAATGCAAGAAATCTCGATCGCCAGGAGGAGGTTCTTGGAGGCAGTGTATATCATCTAACGAATCCAGCACCATACTTACAGCTATAAAATAAATATGAATAGATTATTAATTTAATTGAGGTATTTGTATTTAAAACAATTATCTTTATGATTTAAAATTAAATGTTTTTAACATTTGTAGCGTAACACTAAGTTATTGATGCCTTCAACGAAACTGTAAAAAGATACTGTAACAAATAACAACACACATCTTCCTTAACAAATAAAAATCTCAGATATGAAGAAAATCTAAAAGAAAAAGAAAACTATGAGATCTTTAGTCTTGTTTTCTTCCTATGGTCCTCTTTTTTAGTGAAATTAACATTGTATTATTTCAATACGGATAAAACAAATTTTTGTTTTCCTAACTTCCACAACTTTCTGATCCCAACTTTGTTTGCATTATTTTATGTTTTCTTTTTTAATATATCACTAGGAGGATACCCCTGTCAGCCTGATGGCGGACCAACCTCTATTTTACAAATTATACAACCGATCATTTGATTGTAATACTCGTAGCTCAAGTTGTATAAGTTTAATTTACATGTATTCTGTAGTTCAGATTGTATAATTTTTACCAACATAAAATAAACTGAATGAAACAACACTGTGGACAAATTTTTAATATCATTAAAAATCTATATTATACACTGCATCTTATTGCCAATTTATATTATTATATAATTATAATTATTCTCATTGCTAATTTGTAACTACAATATGTATTCAACTTGTCCAGCTTCCTATAAGTCCAACAATAATTTCAGCCATTTATTTCTAATATTTAAATTGTAAGTTATGTTGTGCTTCCTTTCATAATAATTATAATTATATCACAATATAATAATAATAATATTTTATATAATACAATAATTAATAAATTGTAGTCAAGAGAAAATGTCAAGATTAAAAAATAACTTATGTCACCTAGGTAAAATCAAATAACCACCTCCAGATGAATAGCAATTTTCATACAAATTTTTAGTCTAAAATCCTTATTTTGTATTAGGAGGTCAGGAGGTAACAGGAGCTTAACACGTACGTAATTAAATGAACAACAGTATAATTTGTAAAATAATCTCCTAATAAGTTGAGCTCCTGTTATCTCCTATTATCCTAATACTAAAATAAAATAAATTATGAAAGTCAATAAAAACTTTTTAGTGCTTTATATATATATATATATATATATATAAATGCTTTTTCACATATTTTTTAAATGTTTATTCCACCTACATGTTATTAAACTTTTATCTTTTAATAGTTTCTCATATCTAAGTTATTTTGTCTTTTATTAATCCTGATAAAGAACAGAACTTCGGGCCGAAACGTCAACAAAAATAAAAATAAATATAATTTATATATTTTTATTTTGTTACTTTTTTACTGAACATCCAAACAAACTTCTCTTGCATATATCTATGATAGTTAATTATTTATCCGCTATTAACTAATAATGCATGTATTCTCATTACCTGCAATTTTCCCATCATTTTAAATTTAAATGTTGATAATTTGAATAGGCTAAGCAATCTAGGTATTAGGATTATAAAAACAGTCCTATACTAGTAATTTTATTATGTCAGATGAAGTTGGTAGAGCTTCATTTTGGACAGCTGTATATTAAGATTGATCTTAAAACTGATTTTCACAGAATAAATTTATTTCTTATTCATAGTTTGAATTTTTTATTAAAACTTTTTTAAACTAGTATGTTGGTTGAACAGGCATTTATTGTCAAGCATTACTCCTAAGTATTTTAGAATGTGGTAAATAGGAATTCAGGTATCATTTGAAATTAAATTTGGAGGTGGTGCAGGTCGTTGTTTTATAAAAATTATAGCTTTAGTTCTGTCAATGTTCCGAAGTAATTCCCATTTTTAAAGTATTTTTTTAATGATTCTTATAATCTATTGATGATGGTACATGTTCATTGAAAGGAATGAATAATGCTATATAATTAATATTATAATATTAACTAAGAAAATTGGATACATAGCTTGGAATCATTCATTAATTAAGAGAATCGAGCAAAAAATATTTTAAGAAATAATATTTACCAAGCTACACCAGAGAGCTCAGTTGACGAAGTTGAAAATCAACCTGGCACATCATCACAAAATATGTCAACACAAGTTATACCAATACAAGGTACGCTAGAAGAATCGCCTTTTTTTACAGCTAATCCATTCCAAGTGCTGTCAAACACACAGAATGAACAAATGGAAGCAGTATCCATCCCTAGTGAACCTAAACCTCCACCAATATTCGTTAGAAATATAAAAAATTTCCAATTAATGTGTCAACAATTAAATAATACAGTGGGCTCAGGTAAATACGTATGCCAAAGCCGCACTAATGACACGAAATTAATGCCTGACACCCCAGATACGTACAGAAAAATTGTCAAGTATTTATCTGACACTAAGGCGGATTATCACACATATCAACTGCGCCAAGAGAGAGCGCTCAGGGTGGTGATCAGGAGATTACACCCATCAACACCGCTGGATGCCATTAAAGAAGAACTAACTGAGATGGGGTTCCGTGTTCGACAAATAGTGAATATATTCAAGGAAGATAGAGAACAGCCTGGTACAAAAAATAAAATACCGCTCCCACTATTCTTCGTTGACCTTGACCGAACGCCCCAGGTCGAAGAAATCTACAAGGTCACACGCCTTTATTACACTAGCGTTGTTGTAGAAAAGCCCTACACTAAGCGCGACATTGTACAATGCCATAACTGCCAGGCTTATGGTCATACGAAACGCTATTGCCACCACATTCCTAGATGTGTCAGGTGCGGTGATCAACATAAAACTGAGGACTGCCAGAAGTCCAGAAGAACACCAGCAGTATGCGCTTTATGCCACCAAGGGCACCCAGCGAACTACAAGGGTTGCCAAACATATAAGGAACTGAAAGCAAGAATTTATGCAGCTCCAAGAGAAGAACGGCCATCCAGGCCACCAAGACAACCCTCTAGAACTGTAAATACAAGAGTGTCCTATGCTCAGATGTTCAGAGGAGACACTGCACCCACACAAACTCAGGCCCTGCCACAAGAACCTCAACCTCGAGTATTCACATCTCAACCACAAGACCCTTATCCCATCTCTGAACCTAGGCCTAATAACCAGACATTCATTCCTCCTCCTCCCAATGCCACTGACCTCACAAGCCTATTGACTTCTTTCCTCTCTGAATTCAGGTCACTCATCACTCCTCTCATTTCCTTGCTTACCAATGTTGTATCCAACCTCATCCCACTGTCGAGAAATCCTTAAATGCCCCCAATCAAATCCCTCTCCGTTCTCCTTTGGAATGCGAATGGTATTCGAAATCACGTCAACGAACTAACAATCTTATTACAGGACAAAAACATTGATATAGCATTAATAACTGAAACTCGACTTACCAACAAACGACCACTTAACATCCCCAACTATCATATCTATCGAACCGACCATCCTGATGGAACAGCACATGCTGGCACTGCCATAATTATCCATCAATCCCTTTCCCATCATCTATTCCCTTTGCTAACCCATAATTTCCTACAATCCACTGCCGTGATAATCCAAACTTCCCTTTACCCAATAGCAGTAGTCGCAGCATACTCCCCGCCTAAAATACCCATCTCAGAATCCCAATTAACTTCCTTCCTTAACTCCTTAGGACACCACTTCCTTCTAGGTGCAGACTTAAATGCTAAACACCAGCAATGGGGAGCCAGAACCACAAATTCCCGAGGACGAACATTGCTATCTGCACTTAATTCCCATCACAGCAACATCCTCTCACCCAATTCTCCCACATACTGGCCAACAGATCCTAACCGCAATCCCGATCTCCTAGATTTTTTCATCCACAAAGGTCTAGGGTCCCTTCATTATTGCATCTCAAGACTTGATGATCTTTCCTCAGACCATAGTCCCCTAATCCTAACGGTCTCCACATCACCAATTCCCAAACCACCTCCACCTTCATTTATCAGGGGGCCAGTTAATTGGAACCTCTTCCGTCAAATATTGGATGATAATATTGACCTCAGAGTTTCCTTAAAAACACCCGCAGACCTAGATGAAGCAGTATATTCCATGACTACCTTGATCCAACAAGCAGTTTGGACTGCATCTTCACCTTATCCTTCTAAAAAATACCGCAAAATAAATCCTCTACCCCAAGACCTACTGGACCTTATTAATAGAAAACGATGCTCTAGGACCATCTGGCAAAGAACCAGGCATCCTGATGATCGGAAATCATATAACTATTATTCCAAGCAGGTAAAACAAAAACTGGCTACGTTTAGATCCCAATCCTATAATTCCTATCTTTCCTCACTATCTGCAAGTGATAACTCCCTCTGGAATGTAACTAAAAAACTCCTTAAATTCCAATCCATTTCCCACCCCCTCCGCCGTGATGATGGTTCCTGGGCTTCGTCAGATGAGAATAGAGCAGAAGAGTTTGCTAAACATCTATCGTACACATTCACTCCTCATCCTGAACTCCATCCCTCCCATACTGCTGAAGTTAAAGAATTCCTCTCTTCACCGATTCCTCTCTCCTTACCTCCTAAAGCCGTCAACCCCTCTGAGGTCAAATTCCTTTTAAAGAACCTAAAACCTCGCAAATCTCCAGGACACGATCTCCTTACATCCCAGATCCTCAGACAACTTCCCAAAAAAGCAATTATATTCCTTACATACCTATTCAACTGTATCCTCCGCACAACCCACTTTCCTCTGGTGTGGAAACACTCCATAATTATCCTCTTTCCTAAACCAGGTAAACCTGTTAATTGTACATCATCCTATAGACCGATAAGCTTACTTCCGATCCTTTCCAAAATCTTTGAGAAAATCCTTCTCAAACGCATCCTACCCATACTGGAATCCCACAATATCCCTTCCCATCAGTTTGGATTCCGCTCAAGACACTCCACTGTCCAACAAGGCCTTCGCGTTGTGGACCACATATCCTCTGCACTTGAAAACAAGCAATATTGCACTGGTGCCTTTCTGGACGTAGCTCAAGCTTTCGACCGGGTGTGGCACGATGGCTTGCTTTTCAAGCTCAAAACCCATTTACCTCAACCCTTGTATCTAGTCCTCAAATCCTACCTTTCAAATCGCTCCTTTCAAGTCCGCTGCGGCACTGAACTCTCCAAACATTATCCAATTGAGGCTGGTGTCCCACAAGGCAGTGTCTTGGGCCCAGTTCTCTACATCCTTTTTACCGCTGACATCCCTTCAAGTCCTGATACCTTCCTAGCAACATTTGCTGATGATACTGCCATCCTATCCTCCCACTCGGATCCTCTAATTGCGTCCCAGAACCTGCAAAGACACCTCTCCTTCATTGAGCAGTGGTGCAACAACTGGCGCATCAAAATTAATGAATCAAAATGTAAACATGTGACTTTCACTCTTCGACGCAGATCCTGTCCTCCAATCCTTTTTAATTCAATTCCTCTTCCCTACTCAGACACAGTCCGATACCTTGGCTTCCTTCTGGACAAAAGACTGACTTGGAACCCACATACGAGACTTAAAAGACAAGAGCTTAACCGACGATTTGGTCAGCTATATAGACTACTAAACAGAACATCTCATCTCTCAACAGAAAACAAATTATTAATCTACAAGACCATACTGAAACCTATCTGGACCTACGGACTTGAGCTGTGGGGGACAACTAAATCATCGAATATCACACGCATCCAATCCTTCCAGTCTAAAGTCCTTCGAACAATAGTCAATGCTCCATATTATGTCACGAACAAGACCCTACACCATGACCTTAACATCCCATATGTCCATGACATCATCCCATCCAGATTCTCCAACTTTCACCAGAACCTCATACATCATCCCAATCCTCTAGCCCAATCCCTATCCAGCTCCGAGCATCCATACCATCCCCCTCGAAGGTTGAAACGGCAGTGGCCTCGAGATCTTTTGTAAATATGCCTTTGGAGTCCTGGCAATGGCCAGCTTCTCCACTCATGTCCTGAGCGTCTGTGGCTCTAGTGCCCTCTTCCAGTCTCCACTGGCTTCTAATACTAGTGATGCGGCTGGAAAAGTGGCGCTGGGATCTTCCGGAGTCTTGCTTTGCCTTCCACGTGTGGGGGAAAAAGCCTGGTTCGGAGATTCTTGGGCGAATGTATATATTGTATATAGTTATGATTGTGTTTAGAAGTTTTTATTTTATTTTATTTGTTTATTATTATTATTTTTTCTTTTCTTTTTATTTATCTTCTTCATCAGTATTATTTATTTACTTCTTATATTTATATTTATTTCTTTATTATTTGTATATATTGTATGAATGAGAACTTTTAGCCCTAATGCTTATAGCCCTCCAGCAGTGGCTGCATGTATTATTATTCAATAAATAGATTAAAAAAAAAAAAAAAAAAAAATATTTACCAGCTGATGTAGCATCATCATCACCATAATCAGAGAAGTGGTCAGGGTCAGAAGGATCTGAAGACCACTTGGGAGATGCTACAGCAGCCATCACAGCACCTTTCAGTCTTCTTCGAGCGTTTAACTTCTTCATTTCTTCTATTGTCTCTCCAAGATGCATTTTGCTCACTGCTTTATCTCGGTCCTAATGACAACAATGTCCATGCTTTAGAATTGAACATAATGTTGAAATTAAATCATTACATTGCTAACTATAAAACTTTGGACTTGAAACAAAATATTATGCATTACCATAATATTTTTCACAATTTTACAAGAAGGCAAAGAGCCAAAAACATATCAACAAAATAAATAAATAATGAGATATCTAAACAATGCCCGAATGTGAATCCATAAAATTAGCGTAAAAGATAGAAAAGTATCTAGCAATGATTTCTTGCTTACCCTGAGCCACCGATGATTGAGTACTTCCTGAATAGTTATCCTTTGGTTAGGGTCTACGTGAAGCATTCTTCTAATTAAATCTTTAGCTCCTTCGCTGATAGTTTCCCAAAGTGGTGAATCCATCTAAAAACAAGAACCATACAATATTTATATGAAATAATGGCAGAAACTACATTTTAATGAAAAGCATCTTAAGTGTTTAAAGGTGATAAAAGTATTGTTTGTATTTATAACCACATTTGATTTTAATCTGTAGTTCCGATCCTAAAATCACAAGAATATAATAATCAGGAACAACATTATTGTTATAAATACAGTATGAAAAAAGAATTTTAAAGCATAATGTTTTGTAAATCTTTTTGTTTTGTTTGATAAATCGTTAGGATTTTCAGTCATATTTATTTATTTATAATTAAAAGCATAAGTAATAAAAAATATGATCCAAAACCCCAACTAATTGTCATCCAAGATAATCTTCAATCAACTATAATTCATTTCTATATTTGTATTTTCTTAAAACTTGATATAATTTAAAAAAAAAGTTGTTAGAACACTGCTTTTGATCCTTTATAATATCCTGATAACACTAACATAATTAGAAAGGATGATTGCAGAGGAAGACTTCAACTAATTTCAAATATAAACATAAGAATACTATGTTTAAAAAAAAAAGACCTTTTTATTAATAGGCAACAGTAAAAAAATTAACTTTCCCCATGTTTGGGAATTCCTTTTACAGCTAGAAATGCCAGAAGATCAGAAATTTAGAAATAAAGGTGAAACTATAAATATAGAACTCAAAAAGGTTATAATTTCCAAAAATAAAAGAAATTGAACTAAGAAAACAATGATCTTCAAAAATCAAACCATCCTTATATTTGATTACTAACAAAATAAAATTTTGAAGAGAAGAATAGTTGGGGTGCTCAGTCAAAAAGGAAGGCAAAAAATAAATTATAATATTTATTTTTTACATATGCCGACGTTTCGACCTGAACTTCAGGCCTTCATCAGGGCTAAGAAAACTTCAGGTCGAAACGTCGGCATATGTAAAAAATAAATATTATAATTTATTTTTTGCCTTCCTTTTTGACTGAGCACCCCAACTATTCTTCTCTTCATTATCCACGACAGTCAACCAATTACCAATTAAAAATAAAATTTTATTGAAAATTTATTAATATTAATTATTAATAAAATTAAGGAAGTTTAGTGGCCATAATTTAATCAAATAGAAACCATTCTTGTTTATTTGGATCATACGGCTGTTCAAATCAACTTTTTTTTGGTTTTTATGGTCCTACCGAAAAAATGAGGCTTCTTTTTTATGTCTTAATCCTTGTAACACAAGCATTGTGGTCTGGGATGCAGATCTGCACTATTTCTAGTAATTTAACTGTCTTTAAATATTTAAATATAAATTATTGAAAATATTTTGATATCCTATAACACCAGCAGATTCAGGATTTAATTTGGGACGAGGCATCAGCCAGAAAGTTCTTTTTTATATATATATATATATATATATATATATATATATATATCTGCAAGTACCTACCTGATTGTATATAGGTATAACTGTGTTTTATGTTTTTAATTTACTTATCTTTAGGTTATTTTGTTTTTTTAATGTACATAGTTTTTTATTATTATTTATTTATTGTTTTACTTTTATTAATTTTATATTTGCTGTATTTATGGTGTGAATGTGTTCATATATCACTATAATGATTGTCCTCGTGACAGATTATTATGTTTCGAAATAAATAAATTAAAAAAATATATATAAAACGATAATTCCTTGGCCATAAGAAAAAGAAAGAAATTATCTATATGAAATAGTGTTTAAGTTATTCTTGAAGTCCTATTAAATGTAATTACACGAACACAAATATTTTTATTGATAATTTTTTTATATTTTTAAGACATGGATATATTTTGTATAAACTGCGTCTATATATATAAACATAAAATATGAATCATCGTGAGGGAAAATTCACAGAGGATTTATTTGGACTTAAAGATAAAAGTTCAAATAAAAAAACTAATTATAAATAATAAATGCCTTCATTACTTTATTATTTTATAGCTAGGTTATTATTTTCATCAGATTATGGGTATGAATAGAAATCAAATGCTCACATATAGTTTCCCTTGACATATTGAATGATATAAGCGATGCCTCGTTCCAATGAAGGGGAGGGTACCCGAAAGGAGGATATGAAGAAGCACCCCTGCAGACCAGATGTCTCCTGGCTTTCCATATTGTTGCTTGTCCACAACTTCTGGTGCCATGAACTGAGGTGTCCCAATGCGACCTAGAAGTAAACCAATAAGTCAACGTTGAAGAAACTTTGAAAACAATCAGTCATTAAATAAAATTGATATAATTTGTCAAACAAGGTCACAATTTAAAGTCTAAAATAATAAAATTTAAACTGTGAACTGTATCTCCTTTCTATTTATGCACTCACAAAACATAATTCCAACACAAAGCATCATTTAAAAATAATAAATAAATAACCATCATTATATATTTCTTTAATTTATTTTTATATTTAACTAAGGCCTATTATTGGTAATAGTTCACTTTCGCTATTCCAAGATGACAGCCAGTTTCTAGATCACCCATAGTATTCACAGCAAGTATTGATAATTCTCAATTTAAACTAAAAATACCTGCTTTAATTTAAAAGAGTTGTTTAAGTTAAATCATATTCCCGACTTTATAATACGTAAATACGTCAAATAACAAAAGAAAATATCTTTTGCTAAAAAATAAATTGATACAGCTCGTTGTCCTTCAACACAAAATGCTAAAATAATAAATTACGATTAAACTAAAATTCTCATCCCCCTTTTCCTTCACTGAGAGATACGAAGAAAATACGTAATTAAAATAAGCCTATTAGAATTAAGTTGAATTTCCCCCTCTTCACTAATAGACACGAAAGAATGAGGAACGGAGAAAATACGTAATATAATAAAATATGTATAGAAAAATACAATACAAAGATAATATGACACAGGGAAAAATTTTATCACTCCAAAAATTCATGACGTCCTAATTATTGATATTTTTAGTTAATAGACCGATTATCAAACCAGAATCCTATACACTATTTTAACAATTATTATCGATTATTATAATTGAATAAATATTTCTCTCTTAAACGGAGAGCAATTTACAATTAAAAGAGTTGGCGATCAGAAGGCTCCTTCAACATTAGGGCAAATTCTATTATTTTCGGGAATCAAGGAATAGCATGCTCAAAGTGATTTTGAAACCGGTCGCCATCTTGGAAAAACGAAAAGGAACTAGTACCATATTCTTGTAGGTATTTAAAAAGTTTCCATTCCTCAAACGTTTTGTTTAAAAATGGAAAGAGAACTGACTTAACCTCAGAGCATCTATTAAAATTTAAGGAATAACAACGAAAACGATCAGAAAAGAATGCCAGTATAAATGGTTTCAAAAATTTGACCTACTTATATAAATAAATACAGTTAATATTAAAAAATAAATAGAACACTGAACTTCGTAATAGAAATTTCAACATAATTAATTATTTCTACGTCCACGATTTATTTTTATGTGATCAACAATTCCATGGCACAAATTATAAATTGCTTAAATGAAAAATAGCGACCACAAAATTGTCTTAAAACTTCGTAACGAAAGAGCAAATATTTATCTGCACCGACAGATTTTCAATTTTTTGAAAATTAGTTTAATCAAATTTTTAATTGTAAGTTGATAATGAAAATAGATATTTGCATAATATGTAGTTTAATCCAGACCGTACTTAGAATTTTTCAATAATAGGACAACTGTATTAATCACAAATTGCAATGTTAACCATTAAAAAAAAAACATTATCAATAATTGGTTCTTACATTTTCGACTGATAGATTTAAATACACAATAAGCCGATTTTAAGTTTAACAGCACTAACTAAAAACTTACGCAATAAGTCTTTAAGTGAATTACGATCTCAGAACTGTGCTGAACTGAGTTCATATGCAGTGGTACCAAACTTCCAACGCTTATGTTTCAATAAAAATGAACTAATTTATACAAAATGATACATTTGACTTATTATTTAAAAAAAATCAATTTATAGAGAAGAATTATTATTTAGATTAATTATTATATGGTAATTATTTAGATGAAGACCGGACGGGTTACGCGTGGTTCACAATCACTTCGGTCATACTTATCACTGGCGGATCTACAGGGGAGGCTTTCGGGCTGAAGCCCCTTCCCTAAATGGGAAAAAATAACACGTTTTATTGAAAAAAATATTTAAAAATTATCTCTCAAAGTATTATTGTTCGTGTAATTACATTTAAAGGGGCTTTAGAAATCACTTAAACACCATTTCATATAGGTAGTTAGTTTCTTTCTTTTTTTCCAAAGTAATTATCGTTATTTTTATGGAAAAAAAACTTTCGGGCTGAAGCCCTTCCCAAAATTAAATCCTGGATCCGCTAGTGATACTTATTATGGAGTGCACAATGCATCTGGTTTTATTGGAATGACTGTTTTTGGTGTTCCATGAAAATGTGTGACCAACTGATTGTGAACCACGCGTAAACCGTGCGGTAGTCATCTAAATAATTACTATATTGCATCTTATCTTTTACATATTAGCCAGGAATCAATTGATTTGTTTATATTCGTTATGTAACTACTTCGAATATTAAGAGAATTAAATTTTGGAATATTCATAATATTCTGATGCCATGATATTTTCTAATAGTCAATATTGTAGATTTAACATCCTATACATAATGTAATAACATTAATGAAACTACAATTTGAGCATTTATTTTAACCACAGAGGACAATTTCTCTTCTTTGTAAAAATAAAAAATATAATTTATTTTTTACCTTAAAAGTAAGCTATCATAAAAGATAAACGAAAAGTCCGATAGGATACACATTTTTTTCATTATTATCATTATATTTGACTATTTTTCTTATTATTAAAGTAGAAAAAACTTATATTGATGATATTATTTTTATTAGAATTAATGGCTTTGACACTTTTATATTACAAAATAGTAAATTTACAAAAGTAAAGGGAATTTAGAATACTTAACAGTTGACCGTTGTGTATTTTAGAGAAAGGAGATAAGGGAGAAGAAGGGAGAAGGAGGGGTGGCGGTCATAACTAGACTAAAATAGTGGAAACACTTTATTTCAAGCCAACGTTTCGATCCGACTTTGCAGGTCTTCTTCAGAGAGGTGTGTTCAGCAAGAAGTTTTAGTTAAAACTGCTAGTTGGCTTGAAATAAAATAGTATTTCACTATTTTAATCTATTAATTACCGCCACCCCGGACCATCTCCTTCCTCTTAAATGGAATATAGTTTAATATGGTAAATTATATAGTTTAGCTCTGAGGTACACATTTATTTTATACCTACAGAAAATTAACCTGACATTTCACTTCATGTTCAATGAATGTAGTCAATATAAATGTTTAGGACCTGTAAATATATTAAGTCACCCCATGTATGATGTCATTTCATTTTTTTAACTAATATGTTTTTCTATAAATGATAAAATTCCACTATTTTGGGTATGATCAATAATGTATAATTAGCTTGTTTTTGTATTGTGAGAAACGATAAATAAATTGGTAAGATGGACATTCTTTGGATTTCAATTCCTGCTATCCCCAAAACCATATGAAAAAAATCCTACGACTGCTAATTTGAGTATTCTTTCTTTGTTGTTATAGTTTAACATTTCAATTTCTTCCAACCGGTGAAAGAAGAGGAAGCTAATTCTTGGTACTTACTTAAAGGTTGCATAATTCAACCTTTAAGTAAGTACCAAGAATTAACTTTTGTTCCTCCTTTCCTCAAATTAGCATCTCAGAGGACATATTTCATCAGAATCAATAATAATACTGCTTAGTTTAAAAAATTTTAGAATTTACCCTTTTTTACCAACCGACGACAAGGATAACTAGAGAAATATAGTACATGAAGAAAAAACAACAAAACAATAGACAGCCCAAATTGAATTTTAAAATGAAAGAGTTTAAAAAAAACACCAAATAGAAAATTTTTGTTAGGAATAAAGAAAAATATATAACTGTTAAGAAAATCCTTACAGAATCAATTTTTCTGATGTTGAGGTGAAGTATGGAATACAATATAAATATATTAACATGTATTTACTTTTTATTAATAATTTCATTTCGATCAGCTTTTGAGTCATCTTTAGTAACATTTTAAATTATTAAAGCTAAAATTGTACCATTAACTGGTTTTATTCAGATTTACTTATACACTTATATTTATAGCTCTATGAAATCAAATTGTACCTGGATATAGCTTAAAATCTGGCTAAAACATTTTGTAAAGTGGTAAAGTAAATACAGATTAATATACCTAAAATCTCATTGACTTTATTTTATCTAAGCCAATTAGCACTGTATTAAATGTGATAGTTTAATGGGAGGACTTAATATAAATACAATGCTGAATATAAGACTGATGTTTTTCAGCAAAGGATATAATTAATTATATAAATATTCAACTATCTTAAACTAAATAACTAATCTACAGATTACATGAACCTAAACTTACCTATACTTCAATTAGCACTAAAATTAAATATTAAAAGTAACTAAAATCAAGGTAAATAAAAGTCAAGCAAGTCAAACTTTTTTCTTACAACTACTCTTCAGCGAGTGTACAAAAACCAAAAATTGTCTCAATAAATTTCAAACAAAAACACAAACTCCAATCAGTACATACCAAAAATCAATCAGTTTAAAAATGTTGAATGCACTCTGTTACAGTGATGTTTTATGTACTTGTGACCTTGTTTTACTGTAAGGTACTGTTATCAACATTCATTCCAGGAATTTATAGTCCACCAAACAATTAATTTTGTTAAATAAACCTTTTTAATATTTATAAAAAAATATAATAATCTTCTGTGCACATGATGAATAAGTGGTTCACCCAATTAATAATAAAAAATGAGATTAGTCTATGAATGACCTCAAAATTTGGTTTTGGTTTTTACATCCAGTATACCTGTGCCCCAGAGGTAAAGTACACTGTACATTTTTTTATTAAATATTTTAGTAAATAAGAAACAAATTGTAATAGCAAAGATTATGGAAAATTAGCTCCCTGAGCAAATAAAAAAATGAGACTTGATGCCCTTTACCACTAGACTACAGATTTAGTAACTGAGAAATAAATTGTAATAGTTCAAAACCACGGAACATTTGTTCCCCTGAACAAATACAAAAATGTGACATGGTGTCCTTTACTTCTGAAGTACAGATAGTCAGAAAAAAAAATATTATGGATATAATATATGATAAAATACATGTTTATTCTTTAAACAATTGACTTTTATAAAACAAATAAACTTTGGAAAGGCTTTTAGCCCAGATAATTTAGTATTTTAGAGTTAATCACTTATTCACTGAGGCCATACTTCAATTCTTAATAACTATTTAATTTTATTTCAAAGTTTGATGGACTAAATCAAATGCAATATAAAGTATATATACATAACTATTATTTATGTTAGTAGTTTCGACCAAGCTTAGAGCGCAAACAATGCCAGAAATAAGTTGCCAATTCCTACTCAAATGTCTTTTGCCTAATCTTGCTTAAAAAAGTATGCCCATTCTTATTGCCTCCAAGGTATATTACAGCAGCATTGCAGAAAAATGGAAGAACAATTTTGGAAAAATAAAAAGCAATATTCTCCTCATTTATTAATTGAAGAGGAATATGGTAATGAAAGTTGTAATTTACTTATTATTTTAAAAAAAGTTATTAAAGAATTTATTTTAATTACTTCTTTCTGCTAAAAATGTTATCACTTAAAAAATAAACAATTAAACAAGACCAAAGATAAAAAAACAAAAAAATATTAAACTAAACCCATTACCATTAAGACTTGTTCAAGACGTATTGAATTTTGAATAATATTTACAATTATATTGTGAGTTACAGGGACATGCTCATGCAAACCAGCCAGAATAAAACCATGAAGGCAAACCAAGATACAATTACAGAAGTGTAATCAGCACCAGTGATGTGTGAAACACTTCTAGTAAAGAAAGCTATTACGTTCCAAAAAATAAATCAAAAACCTTCTCACTTAAACAATTCATGAATGTTGCATTTTATTTTGCAATAGTGCAAATAATATTTCAATATATACCTCAACATGCGCATTAGAAAATATTTACAGTTGCCAAGAAGAAGCGGCAAAGAGCCACGCTTGTTTCCTGTTATCACCATATCACTTTACATTAATGGGTTGTGAATGACTTCAATTGAGGACAAAATTAAAAAAATAAAGACAATATTACAAACTGAATCAGTTTTCAAGTTGAATACGCATGATTTTATTTATTTATTTATTTTTTAAATAAAGTCAATCACAACCGCACAAAAATAAGTTTTGGCTGTTTGGAAACACGTGGTGCATCTATTTTTAACTATAGCAGCACCGAGCTTTCTATTAATCTACAAGAGAAATGCTCTAAAGACAAAACGGTTTTTATCAATTCAATACCGTTGTTCTCGGCAGCTTCTATTTTCTCCAAATCGGGTAGGTGGTCATATGAAAGGGAGTTAGGTGCTAAAACGAGAGAAAACAAAAAAAACACACACGTGAGTTAAAAACGAGTTCCGTGTTAAAATGAAAATAGGAAAATGTCGGTGTTTACCAAAGGAAACATTCCTCCTTCTGTGAGAGGAGGCTGTAGGTCCCCAAGCCTCCACTACTGTGACCCACATGGAATACATACAATAAAACAAAAACAATAAATCACACATGTCTCAAATGTGGGTCAACAACATCCATAAACCATCCACAGCATGAGCATCGTTTCATTTGTGGAAAAATCATTGTTAATACAATGTAGGCCACACTGCCTAATTACTCTACTATATCATGCAGCTTTTGTAAGAACATTAGTTGGTAAAAGAAAAGGTAATTTTATTTTGTTACTTAGGAAAGATTAGAAAGAAAAAAAAAAGTAAGGATGTTATAATGGATTTAAATTGAAAATTGACTACTAATTACAATAAATACTGATTATACAGTCAGCGCAAGGAAGGTAGAAGAAAAAGTAATTCAGTGCTTATATAATAATAAGTGGCTGTTCATGATAATATAAATAAAATAGCACTAATTTTTACATGCTATGATAAAATAAAATCTTATTTAAAGAATAAACAAGGCTGGGAGAGTATTTTGGATTATTATTATTTGGGAAATGATTGTAATACTTTAGTCTGCCTGTTTGAAAGTATGTAATGATGTTTTGAGCAAACAGCACAACCAATTTTAAAACTCTTCTTCTTCTTTCTCTTTAACCCATCTGCCTCTCAGCGAGGGAGTGCTTCCAGCCATCAATTCCAAGCATCCCTGTTCCCGGTAAGTATGAGGTTTTAGGAATTACATTAAAGCTTAAAGACTGAAATTATTCAGCGACATTTGTTGAGTATTTTGAAACAAGTTGAGCTCAAAACATAGTAAAAATATTTCATTATATTTCAAGTATTTTCAATTTTTTTTTTTTTTTTTTGGTTTCATAAACTAACAAATAATTGAATTATATGAATGTCATGACCATATTCATATATTCATATTCATGATCATTTACAGAAATTGGGAAATTCTATCCATCCTAAGAAAATGAACTTCCATATCTATTTAAACATCTTGGAAGGTTGATAGGAAAATTGACACCTACGAATATTTAAACTAGGTGTAATAGTCGGGTGTCTATCACTACATATTACGGCTCCGGGCAGAGTACGTTCCTGTAGCTTCATTTATAGATGTCAATTTCCCTATCAATCTACCAGGATATTTAACTAGATATGGAAGTACATTCCCTGAAGGTGGATAGACTTTTCCTATTTTTGTATTCATTTTTTTTTTTTAATTGTTTTATTTTTACATTTTTAATTTTTTAAATATTAACAATTCATTTTCATAACATATGATCACTTATCATTCCAAATCAATTTATAATCGAGATACTTAAATAATAACAATGGCTTTCAGTATTTTGAGCTCAAATAGTTTCAAAACATTCACAGGATTTAACTGAGTAATTGCAGCCGTCAGAGTCCAAAATCAATCCTCCCAACTGCTAAAAAAAATAGTTATGTACCTTTAAGTGGATTGATTAAACACATTTTACACAATGATTTGCTAGAATTTTGAGCTAAAAGTTTTTAGATACTCATGAGATCTTAACGATTAATCAAATCCGATTTATCGAACATAAAAATCGTTCCAGGCGAACACTTGAAAAATCGTTACATATTTTTTTAGGAAATTGATTAAACACTTCTTCTTAATCATAGATCAGTGTTTTTAATTAAAATTGTTTCAAAACACTCAAGGGATCTCACTAAATAATTAAAGATATCAAACATAAAAAATGGACCCAGGCATATACCTAAAACAGCGTTACATATCTGTTAATGGAGACCCGTATCACATGACCTTTGTGTCGCTTCGCTTAGTCGGGTAAAAAAATAAAAATTCTGCTAATTAATTCAACTAGAGCAGAATAACAAGACTGCATACAATGACAAGGAAACTTTATAGCAAACTGTAGGTTATAATAACTCGTTAATAAAATTATAGGCAGTTCTTATTTATCAATAAAGACAAAACTAATAAGTATGCTACATATACCTTATTATTTAATCATAATTAAAAAAATATTTAGAAAAGCATCACACAAGAAGCTAATGTGCACCTCCTTATGTCTAATGCATTTGGTAACAAAGTATGGAAATGGCCACAAGCTTGTAAAAGTACGTTAATGTTAGTTTTAACATATCCCACTCACAATTTTGTGAAGTTGTTGACATTGACAATGAACGAATCCCTTAAAAAATAATAGTGTTAAATTGACGCCTGAACATGAATAGACTACTAAGATGAAGGGGAGAGAATTGTGTAAAGACTAATTTGATTTGACTAGTTTTCGAGTTTCAGAAAGGTTCGGTAAAGGGAAATGTCAAGCATGTTAGTTGATGGCAATACCGTTGATTTTGTAAAGCCATTTTATTAATTTTATTAGTATAATTAATAGAAGAAGTAATAAGCCATAAGAGAACATTGATTAGTGGTAATTGATTATTTCCTCTATTCCATTGGTAGATTTGTGATGCGAGTATTTTTTAAAACAACTCCCGGTTATCTTGCTTCCCTCAATATATCAATGAAAAAACATCTGATAATAAAACTAACATCGTACAGAAATAATATATAAGTTTAATATTTACCTTTTTTTTTTTTGTATGTGAGAGATAATTAAAAATGGAGAGGTATAAAAAAAAGTCATCTTACACTTCAATATCTTTTTCACCAGTCAGTAAAATAAAATTAAAGATCGATCATTAGCGAAAAGCAGGGAAAGAAAAAAACAAAACAAATTATAAAAGGCAGACAAAACAAAGGTTTCCTGTTAGTAAAGCAAATATTATAGGTAGTTATTAGATTTGCACATATATTTTCTATTTTAAGTGAATTAAAACGTATCATCTAAAGTGACAGTGTGGCTAAAATATTATTGGCGATTATGTTAGTGATGATGAAAAGATGCCCACGCTACACGTTAAAGGTTAGTAGATATTATTTAAGTTTTTCGATCGTGATCCCCTCCCTTACCCTCTCTGTCGCTCTTCAGGTACTCCTGCCCACTCCGGGTAAGGCCTGGTCTCAAATGTGACCTGAAACTTTCTGAACAGGAAAGGAAAAAAACTTTATCAATTACTAAAAAAAAAAATAAAGAAAGAAAAAATTAAATAATAAATTAAGTAAAAAACTGAACAGAAATAAAATTAAAATAGAAGAAAAATTGAAACTAATGTTAAAAGAAAATTAATAATAGCCAAAAAGTTCCTTGAAAGACTCACTTCAAAGATTTTATAACATTAATACATTTTTTTTTTAAATATCACAATGAATATCACTTTTCTTTTATGATTCACCATTCATAGAAATAATTCATAGACATCTGAGAAACCATTCTAGGTTTAATAATGACCTGATTAAAATTATATTATATATATTTACTTCTCGTATGTCAACTTGAAAGCCTCACTGCTAAGTAATCAAAATAAATTTTGCCTGAGAACTTATAGCGGAATGAAACATTTGATAGATTAAACAAATATGTAACCATTAGTTTCCTTTTTTTAAAGTATATTTTTATTAATGCTTTCCAAGTTCAAATGTAATTGTTTCGAATAATGAAATTTTCAAGTATTGAGTAAATCTTTCAAAGAATGTCTAAATTCAAAACAAATTCAACATATATAGTTTAGATAAACAAAAGAAAATCAAGCAAAATATAGTGAAGTCAATTAAAATGAAAGAAACTGAAATTTGGAACATAAAAAAATATATCTAAAAATTATGCAATAGCTTTCACTAAAGCAAATATTAAAAAAATAAATTTATGTTTGATGGAAGTAATGTTTATCTATAAATATCTATGTATATTTTGGTTTTTTTTTTTTATTGTTTCTTATAATTACTAAAAAATCATGTAATTGAAAAATAATACTTGAAGAGTAAACAACGCATTTATGCATATTAACAAAACCACATAATGAATGATTCAGTATCTTGAAATAATTTTTTTTTTTTAGTATCTAACTAAATAGACAAAGTTTGCTGACCTCTGGATTGAAAACGCCCTAATTCCAAGATTTTTCGTAAATAAAATATTTGTAGGTTAGGATGAGATGAAGTTAATTACGAAGTTTCAGCCGGATGTTAATAATTCGATGAAAAGGGGTCTGTACCACGGACTACTAAGCAAATTAAGAAAACCTATATAATTCATGAGTATGTAATTTTCAAAAAGAACTCTCTCAGCATTCTTCTTTTGTGCCAATAATAATTAATAGTTTACTTTAACCTGATCCAATCATAACTTACAAAAACAATCTTTAACCAGGATAGTTTTGGTATTCTCCCAGTTTGTTTTTCAGTCATTTGCATTAATGCAGTTATTTTTATTTTTTCACGTTTTAAGGTTTCTAAACCTTCTTTAGTGAGAAGTTAGATTTTCTTAATTAAGTTTTAAGCATTTTATTTTAAATATTAGACTCAAATTATTTTAATGATTGATCACATGAATGAAATTTCCGAATTTGAATATTTATTTTCTATTTTCTATCCTAGTTGGAAACATTTTTTTCATACTCATGTAATGTTCTCCATATAATGTTTTTTAAAATACAAAGTAAGAGAGTACTGATTTAGATTTGTTTTGATTAAAGTAGTACATACAAGAACAAAAAGATGAAAAAAAGAAAAGAAATCAGAATAACAAAACCCTCCATTAATAGTTCTGAATCATTCATTCTATATTTCAACCATGACGGAATGAATTTGATATAAATAAATATAAATAGATAATTTTTTTCTCACCTCCATTGAGCACTTGCCCGTCCTGAAGCTGGATGGCCACACCGAAGCCACCGAGTTTGACAGGAGCTGAGTTCTCTTTACTAGTTAGCAAGACACAATGAGGCTTTATGTCCCTGTGGATAATGTCGTTGTCGTGGCAGTACCTAAGGGCTTCTAGCACCTGCCTCATGTAATGACTACAAAATAAAAATATATATATATATATATATATATATATTAAATTAATATAATATAAGTTATAAAGTTTATGAAAATTAAGTCTTTATTTTGTAACTAGATTATTTTATAATATTGAAATACTTACAAATATTCTATCTGGGTTAATCAATTTTTGAGATTTTTAAAACAATTATCGATAAATAATTTTAAATTTTTTCTACATAGGGAGAGGAGCAGATGAATGTTCCACAATGCCCTCTTTGGATATGATCATATAGTCAGTGGGTACAGATCCCTTTTTTTTTCAAATTATTAACATTGGTCTAAAACTTCGTGAATGGCTTCATCTTATCATAATATACAACTTTTTTATCTTTTAAAAAGTCTAAGAAATGGGCCATATCTTGATTAAATTAACCAATTTAATGAGGAACTAAAAACTCGTTAATAACTATTTGCTTTCCACCTCAATTGTAAGACAATTTGATCACGAATTCGAGAAATAATATGGTTTACAAAAACTTTGGACCATCTGGATTCATTTTGAAATGTTTACACCAAATGGTCCAATAATTTTTTTTTTCCAAATGACCATCTTTAAATCGATTTTTTGTTAGAACTTATTTAAGGTTCAAACAGAAAGCAAATGTGTTCATGAGTTTTTAGTATTTCATCAAATAGAAAATTTTAGCGACCTCCAGATTGAAAACATCCCATTTCTGAGAATTTTCATAAATAAAAAAGATGTAGGTTACAATGAAATGAAGACTTTCACAAAATTTTAGACAATTTTCAATAATTTAACAAAACTGGATGTGTACCACGAACTAATAGATCTTATCATCGCATTAAAACAATTGCAAAAGGAAGTGTTCAATAATTGAAAAATTTCTTGAAAAGTAAAGGAACTTTAAACATCGTTATTTAAGTGGTCAACAAGTAAAAACTATCAGAACGCTACATTATTACTTTTTTTTTTAATTCTACCTATCTCTGATTGAACAAATGTTTCAAAATGATCAAAATAATTAAAGATTTGTAATTGCCTGAAATATATTACCCTAAATCATCTAATAAATAAATAAATCTTACCTTGCTACTGCTTCGCTATAAACAAAACCTGCTGTTGCACGCCTTACGATTTCAAAACAAATATCAGAGCCATCCATACTGAAAACAAAAAAAAAATATAATAATCTTAAGCAGGATGTAATTAAATATATTATTTTTTAAGGCTCTAATTCAAACTATATCTTTATCAAACAAATAAAATAAAATACTAAGCTATTTTATTCAATTTCTGAAGACTGGAATAATGTTACAAGTATGATAAAACAAAAAATTGTAATTTATTGATCACTAGTTCAAGTAATTCTTCACATTTATGTAATTTAGTTTAAACATTCATTATTGTTCAAATAAAGAAGATTGAATAAAAATTTAAATATTAAGGCAAATAAAAAAATTCAGACTATGAATAGTAATAAAACTATATTATAAAAAACATAATGTTATTCAAATTAATTAAACAAAAAATTAAATATTTTGAATACTTACTATTCGAAAACCATGTACAACATTCCTTCTGAGCTGTAAGTTTCTAAAAGTTCCACAATGTGTGGATGTTTGAGCATATGACATATTGTTGCCTCCCGCTTTAGGTCTGAAACATTCAAGTAATTTTTAAGTTTTATTTTTAATTAGTTTACTTGAAGTATTTTTTTAATAGAGTTCTAAAAATATCATGATTAATAAAAAACAAATGGCTAAATATGAAGTTTAAAAGAATATGATATTTGGAAACTGGTGAAAAAAAGAAAAAATTAAAATTAAATTTGAATTTTTCTGAGATCATCTCTAATAGTAATTTCCCTGTTTGAGGTAAGAAATACCCAACAGAGAATGCAAATGAGCACAGAATAATCTGTTTATGATTTATCGGAGATACATATATTTTTTTTCTCTCTTTTATGAAAAACATTATTGATTTAACAGTGATTTAAAAAAAATTGTACCTTAGTAGGAAACAGTTATAACAGGTGAGGAAAATTGTTATATAATAAGTTTATGAAAGATTATCTTCATAGATTATATTGGATATATTAAATTTTTGATTCTCTGTTTGAAATTCATTACTTAAGAATAATGCCCTATATCAAATAAAAATAATACATATTTTATTTTTGAACTATTGAAACAACTACCTGAAGTGCTGAGGCCAGGACTGGAAGTAAATTTTGCTACGTCTACTATTTTCACCGCAAACTGATGGCCTGTTTGCCGATGAATACATCTTCTCACTAAACTGAAAGGCCCCCTGAAAAGAAAAATAATAATAATGAGTACTGCATTTTAATGTTTAATTTATGTTAGAATTGAAATGAAACATAACATATTTATTACTCAAACATATCGCATAAAATGTTTTAAGAAATCAGATACATAAAACTGCATTATATTATTGTACAAATACTTGTATTCATATACTGTCTCATCAAAATACGGCAATAGAACGAATTTTGCTGTACTTATTTTAGTCACTGAAATTCAGCGGTTAGCTTAACTTAATAGGAGTGAACAGAGGGAAGAAGAGGATGTATTACCAGGTGATTTGGTCAACCATGTAACAGTTAGTAGGTTTAAGAACCAAAAAAGTGCTTTCAAAATTTACTATACACTGGGCATACATGCACACTTTCTGGGTTCTTAAAACTACTGAAAGGATCGTTAAATATTAAACCAACTAGAAAAAATGTTTTTGTTAAAACTTGGTATGATTGTAGTATTTCTTGATTTAAGTAACCATGCCATATTTTTATTTTATGAAAGTTATTTTATAACTATCTCTAATATTTTAGATTTTACAGCCTATTCAATTTTTTGATTATTGCAATTTTTACCGCTCAGCTGCAAAAAATTTTATTGGATTCTCAATGAAAAATAAATCACATTCCTTAGTAAACACCCAATATAGATGATTTTTATTAGTAAGTCTGCATCAAACCAAAAAAAAAAAAAAATAAAATAACCTGCACCACTACTATCCAGAGAGTCTTGAGTTCAGTAATTTGTAAGGAAATAATGATTCTTGGTTAACGCTTAACCACCAGCTTTTTCCCTTTAATTAATTATTTAATCAAAAGTATCTTCTTGACAAAGGTTGAGGGTGACGCATGAGGGTCTCTAGAGTTCACAGTTCATAGTAGAACTATGTAACAGAATGAATATATCTGAAACAAATAGATTCGAATCCGGGAGCTGAAGCATAGGAGCACATTGCCTTACACAGTGGGATACTCTACTTCTTATGTAACTACAGGACGGTCTCGATAATCCGACCCCCCTGGTAATCCGAATAAGAAAGAAAAAAGTCAAAATCGGCTTACTAGCGTTTTTCAGTACATTTATTGGAACTCTTTCGTGTGGTAGTGTCGAAATTGTGTTGTGGTGTCTCTAAACCAAAAACATTAAAATTAGGGGGTCATTCAGAAGTTGCGGAATATCTTTAAATGTGGTTTTTGCAACAAAGATCATGAGGGTGTCCAATTCCCGGGAAATAGTTTTAAGAAGGATTATAAAGCAGATATTAATGGCAGTAAAGGTTGAATTGATGAATTCCCTAACAGACGAGGAATATGTTTTTATATTAATTTTTATTTTACTGGAAAATTTTATTAAACCCATTTTATTTTTATTATATATAAGTCATAAGAGTATTTAATACTTTCTTAGAGTGGGCGAATGGATACAAAGTCAACTACCAAAGTCTGGTATTTTTAAACAATTTGAGAAATCAGGCGTTTTCTTTAGCAACAAAATCAGAGAACCTAAATACATTATATGACAATTTTCAGGAATATTTTGTTTGTGTCCAATATGTTCATATTTAATTTATATCGTCGGTTTATTGCAAAAAGTCATTAAGTGACATTTCATAACCTTAACTAATCAAGAACTCTGAACAATTTTTCCTTCATCAAATCCGAAAATTGTGCGCTTGTTGTAACTATATTTTATGTATAAAAGGGTTTGCTGTATTTTAATACCCGTATAGTGTATTTTCATCGATAAATAAAGTCGAAATTCATAAAAACATTTTTGAAAGTTAACCTATAAAAAAAAAAAAAAGCATTTAGTGACTTTTTGCAATGAAGCAACGATATATTTTCGTCTCCAACATTTTGACAATCCGAACAAATAGCCTGTCCGGGTTATCTAAATCGCTCTGTACCTATATACATTAATATGTCAGAAGTAACGAAGAAATAGAACAAAGCCACCAAATACTGGCATTTTAATACGTAATAATATTTTTCAATATACATATAAAATTAAAGAAATATCAACGTGGCTCTATTACAGTCTGACGAATGATTTGATTAATCAGGACTTTCCTCAATATTGCAAAATAAATATTCCACAAATAAAAACAACCTGTGAATAATTGTACCGCAACTATTCAACTGATGGAGGAAAAAGGTAAAAAGAAAAAAAAAAGGCAATATTGTAGAGCGCGGTGGAAGCGACCGAGCCAAGCCTGCGTTTTATTGCGACCCTCTAACCAACAAATTCCCCCCCCCCTCCTTCCTTACAAACATGTAGATCTTCCTCCAGCTAACGCTTCATGAGCTCCTCCCCTAAGGGTTTATCTGTTTAAGTCTCTCCTAGTTCTATCTGGGGCTAAGACCAAGAGCGTGTCGTAGAGATCTATGGTATATGTATAGCGAACCGGTGTTGTCAGAGGCGCCGGTACTTAGGAAATATAAGGGGGGGGGCGAAGGTTAGTATAACATGATAACAGTGTTCAATGTATGGGCGTATAAGGGAGGGAGAGAGGTAAAACACCATACATAAAGGAGCAGCTCAGTTATAAGTTTATCTACACCATATATTAGTTTATCTATACCCTTTTCCAGCTCTCAGGTGCGATGGATTTTAATAAATGAGGTATCAAACGAAAGAGAATTCCATGGAAAAGTGACGAATTCAGTTCATAAATACCTGATACAATTTTAATAAAAGTCATTGAAAAAAATGGCAGGATTTAAAATTCAGATGGCTACAAGGGTATAAATTTATAAAAAAGGGATCTAGAAGGGATAAATTTTGTTTTAAAGATTTCCAGGCGGAAATATAGACCCAATATAGGTCCAAAGAAGTATGTTTCAAATATGTACAATGTGCCGTTTCGGTAGCATTAATCTTTTACGAGCTAAAAATCTCGAAAAGTTAAATGGAGGAGAATAGTTCTAGAGGATAATATAGATAGTAACTGTTTAATATTTTTAGTAAATAAATAAATAAAATATCCAGGTATGGTTTCTGCTATAAGACTAGTAGTGCCTTATTGCTAACCTATTAAACAGGGCTTGAAACGAAAAAAAACTTTTATTTTTTAATAATTCAGTCCAAAGTCCTCCGAACAATAGTCAATTCTCCGTTCTACGTAACCAACAAAACACTGCATCATGACCTTAATATCTCATTTGTCCTAGACCTTATTCCTGAAAAATTTTCCAAATTCCATCAGAACCTTTCAAGTCATCCGAACCCCCTTGCACAATCCCTATCTAGCTCCACCCATCTCTACAATCTACCTCGAAGGTTGAATCGGCAATGGCAAGATTCTCCACTCAATAAATGAGTATATTTGCCTAAAGCGCTCTCGCCCAATCTCCACTGGCTTTAGCACCAGTGACGCGGTTGAGAGAAAAGCGCAGAGATCTCAAGGAGTCCAGCTTTTTCCCCAAGGACAAGCCTGGCTTAGGTTTTCTGCATTATTGTATATAGGTATGACTGTGTTTTTAACTTACTTATCTTTAAGTTATTTTATTTTTTATTGTACACACGTTTGATTATGATTTAGTTGATATTTTGCTTTTGTTTATTTTATGTATTCTGTATTCTGTATATATGGTGTGAAAACGTTCATATCTCACTATAATTATTGTCCGTGTTACAGATTGTTATATTTCTGAATAAAATAAAACATTTTAAAAAAGTTTTACTATCACTGGAATTTTTACTGTCAGTAGTTGTTCAGTTATTTTTGAAACTAGAACTTTCTCCTTTGCAGCTTTTTAAGTAAAGGTTTTCAGAACTTTTATTTGAGATTTTTGTCGATTTCGCTAAAGAGTCGATCTAAAAATTGATTTTTATTCTTATCTAATGAAACATTAGAATCACAGATAATTCAATTAGCATAAATTAACCCTAATCTAAGCCCGATCACTGTCTATTTTTCATTTAACGGACTTTTTTAAGAACCTATAATAAATACAAGATAAACTTTTGTCATTAACTAGGAACTTCTCCGCTGGCTTTAGTACCAGTGATGCGGTTGGAAGAGTAGCGCAGGGTTCTCCTGGAGTTCCCTCGCCTGATTGTATATAGGTATGCATGTTATTTATTTTTTTTTTTTCCTTAGTTTTAATTTTCTTATTTTTTAGGTTATTTTATTTTATTGTCTATTGTATATACTTTTGATTATTATTTTGTTCTATTTATTTTATTTTTTTGTACATATGGTGTGAATGTCATCCTACCTCACTATAACCAATGTCGAACAGACAGATTGTTATAATACTCAATAAAGAAATTAAAAAAAAAAACTAGGAACTTAATTACAAAAAAAATCCTTTTTAAAAAACTTTTATTTTAAGAACTTTTTCCAAAAACGTTTCACAGAAACTGGAAAAAAAAAAAAAAGAAATCAGGGATATTTTGCAGTGGGACAAGCGTATTACTTATAAAGTAATTGTTAGTTTAATAGTCGTGGTAAGATAGGAATCTTCAGCAATTATGTGTATTCCATGGGCTATGTTGATAATATTAAATTGCATATACGAATAAACAAGTTCCATTAATGTTGCTTATAAGTTGAATGCATTAGGGAAGAGGATAATTCTGTGGTGTTCTCTGGGATATATTTCTTATTATAACTTAAAATAACTCATACATACCCATAAATATGAGCTGGATCATGTTAATTCATGGATTGCAACATGTGATGCATGCTTTTTATTAAAAAACAAAATAAACTGGAGCAATTTTTCGCAATTTATTCGCCAGCTGATTTCGCCGCCGCCCACTCTCCTGGCTCCTAGCCCCCCCCCCTTCATTATTCCACTCCTGAGGGAAAACAACTTTTCTGTTTGCCCTCTTCAGAGAATGGGATAGTACTTTCATACTCTAACATCGCCCCATCTTATCAGCCATTTTACATTTTCTCCTTTACTTACTGGTACTTCGGGTAATAGGGAAAACATTATCGTCGCTTGAAATTAAACTTTTATTTTTGTCGACACTTACAAAAGC